CGCGGCCTACATGATCCACGACGATCACAGTACCGCTGTACTGCACAACCAACAGCTCATCGGTTTGTGAGATCCCGTACCGTATGTGTCGCGAGCGCCATCTGTCAGCGAATTATAGATCCAGACGTCGTGAATAATTTATGCGAGAAATGCTGAGCCTAACATCGAGGGGGGAAGCATATCAGAGATGCTGGAGAAAAACTGCTTGTTTACGTTTTTCGAACAATGTACGGTCGCGTAGTCCTGTCATTAGCTATTCGCCTCCTCCTTCTGCCCCTCCTTTTCATCCTCCTTCGCCTTCTCCTTCTGCCCCTCCTCTTCATCCTCCTTCGCCTCCCCCTCCCTCTTCTTTAACAGTATTGTTACCCGTTGTAATACATTGCTTGATATAATGATATCAAGGGGTTATGTCAGTTAAGGGGTTATTCGACCAAACTAACTCCAATTTCGTAGAGATTAGCATAAAGACAACTTGACACATATCGCCGCACTCTACTTGTCTTCCTTTCTCTTTTTCTTCCGTGCAGGTGTAACTGTGACGCGGATCTACGGCGATGGGAGGAAGATTCTGGCTTCATCACTCAGTCCCACCTTCTTCCCGTCACCAGGCTGAGATTCGGAGACACTGGTGGTTTGTTTGCCGGACTCAACGAGGAAGGCTACCACTTTCTCGGACCTCTGGAGTGTTATGAGGGTATAGAACACATCGTTTGCGCGTCAGATCAGTCCGACTGTATTGCCATCTCGCCACGTTGTTGCTAATGTAACTTAACGCCGTAAAAAGTTGTTACCTGTATAATAACCTCACGCCGATCTCTGCCGAAGATTGTCGAAGATTTCCGAGCGGTTTGTCCGGAGGGTGAAAGTAGTCGAAGTCTGCTAACCGTACTTATTTAATTAGTTATTAATTTTGGTTCTAGTTGGTGCCTGGCATTTCGAATATTCCGCGAAGATGTGTCTGAATTGCGATGGCAGAGACCTTCCATAAACCGCTACGCGGCAATATTATAGTTTGGTTTCTGTAGGGAAGGTTGTTTAGTCGAGCTTCATGTCGTAGCTATCTCACTGACTGAGGCATCTCCTTGTTGTGTTTTTCTCGAAGGAAACCGCTCGAGACTGTATGAGGTTCCGCCAACGTGCGTCGATACGGAAGGTAACGTTTACGTAAACGTTTGTGCCGTGAATGCGGTCCTAGTCGTTCCTATAGCAGCCTTCGCAAACCCACGAACAATTTCCTAGCGGCTACACATTACACACAGTACGGAAACAGTACACTCTGTTCGTATGGAAATGGAAATGTAAAAATATGCGCAGTATGTTCATAGAGTAGGAATTTATTAGTAAACTTTCTTTTGAAAAATGACTCCGCGTGTTTGTTTCATGATGACCCCCATACTAACTAGATCATGAGTATGTTAATAACGTATTTACGCACACACGGGGGATGTGATCATAGATCCTAGATCTATCGACCACTGCAGCACCAGTCCCTGCAGCGCGGGACAGTGCATCCGCCTGGATAGAGATTACGAATGCGACTGCACCAACACCGGATTCCAGGGGCTAAACTGCATGGAAGGTATGCGTGTAGGAAAAAGGAATAAGTGAAGGAAAGGTACCAGCGTCGCGTTCACGTCACGCGTGCTGCGCTATTGCTCAGTAGACCGACATCTCAAATCTAACATCGATAAAACACTTAACAGAGGTTTTTTGATGAAATATTTCCGACTCGCCGAGCGTGGCTAATAAAACCAGATCGGTTGCTGATGTTGTATGACTTTTGCTACACCAAGTTAAAATGTCTGCTGCTGCGCTTATGTGGCAATTTATCGCAAACATAAGAATAAAACTTTGTTTTTAGCTATACGCCATTTTTGTTTATTGTGTCGCCATCTATCGGCAACAGACAAAGTTAAACACAATTCTCTCGCATTCGCGACACTCCAACAACAAGGAGTTTGCAGAAGTTACTTTGACAATATTGACTTGACTTATGATTTCCAAGAAAATAGTTGTTTACCACTAATCTCAACAAAAATTTAAAGTTCAGAAAATGTCTTTAAGTCCACTGATTTAACACACAAGTGCTTTGAAATTACTTCTTAAGCCACTTATCCATCTTTATTTTAGCAAGTTGAGCACTTTTACGCGGTTGTCGTTTATTAGTTACACTTATTGGCACAGTTTTTGATTTAGAGTCCACGCGATTGTTAGTCACAGTAACAGGTTTAGAGTTTTTATCAACAGGCGAGGCGACTCATTAGAACTAGAGTCTTTTACAGTCATGTTAATGTTATTATCATAACATTTACTTTCCGAAG